ATATATATATATATATATATATATATTCTAAAACGATAACTTATTGATAATTTCACCAAAATCAATAGATTTTTAGCTACGCATCCTAGTTTTTGAAATAATTTTATTTAACCTAAAATTAGAGAATACCTATTTACTAACTTGAAGGAGGATGCTGGAAGTTAAAACACATTAGAGGAATACAAGCGAAATGCTCTCTAACACTTTTTTTAACACACTTTTTATTATTAGCTTAAATTTATTAAAAATTATAAGACTTAAATATGTTTAAACTACTTTATTATTAGTTTAAATTTATTAAAAATTATAAGGCTTAAATATGTTCAAACTACTTCTAATTAGGTCGATTTTTAGATTACTACTTTTTAATCTTTTTTTATTTATTTAAATTATCAAACAAATTTTTTTTCTTCAATTTAGTATCTGACGTTAATCTATCTCCGTTAAGTGATGACGTGGTAGACGAACTACCATGTCATCACTCAACAATGTCTGCCACATCATCCAAGGGACTGCCACGTGGACATGATGATGATGTGGCAAACATTATTGGGTGATGACATGACAGTTTGTCTGCCACGTTATCACTTGATAGAGGGAGACCAACGTCAGGTACTAAATTGAAGAAAAAAAATAGTCAGGTATTTAAAACAAAAAATAATAAATTAATAGGTAGTAATCTGAAAACTGACCTAATTGAAGGTAGTAATATGAAAATTGTCACTGAAAGACAACCTATTTTGAGGCCACCATATTTCGATTGCATAAATTACACTGAGTGAAAGGAGCGTATGCGAACATTTATACAATCCATCGACTTTAAACTTTGGATTGTCATAAAAAATGGACTAAAAATTCCAACAAAGATAGTGGACAATGAAGAAGTGGAGAAAAGTAAAGATTAATAAGATGAAGAAGACATAAAACACCTGTAACTAGAAACAAAAGCAACAAATGCTTTATATTGTGTCATGAATTAAGATACTTTCGAAAAAAATTTCAAGTGCGGCTTAAATATGTTCAAATTATCTTCAATTAGGTCGGTTTTTCATATTACTACCTTCAATTAGGTTAGTTTTCAGATTACTACCTATTAATTTGTTATTTTTTGTTTTAAATACCTGACTAATTTTTTTCTTAATTTAGTACCTGACGTTGACCCCCCTCTGTCAAGTGATGACGTGGCAGACGGACTACCACATCATCACTCAACAGTATTTGCCATGTCATCACCATGTCCACGTGACAGTCCCTTGGATGACGTGACAGACACTGCTGGGTGATGACGTGGCAGACAGACTGTCACGTCATCACTTAACGGAGGAGGACTAACGTCATGTACTAAATTGAAAAAAAAAAAATATTAAGTAATTTAAACAATTTTTTAAAAAAAAAAAAATAATCTAAAAATTGACCTAATTAGAGATAGTTTAAACATATTTAAGTCAAATTATAATTTGTGAGTTCTGCATCTCATTTAATTAATCAACTTTATATTTTTTCAATTTATAAGAAATATTAGAAAGACGTAACAAAACTCAATTTTTAATCAGTCTCATAGTTTAATGAAAGAATTCACTATAATTTATGATTTTCAACCATATTAATATTTCAGTTTCCAATTATGTTAGATTATTTGTTTAATTAAAAAAATATATATATATATATATATATATATATATATTATTAAACTAACAACTAAAAAAACACTTATTCAAATTAAATTTCTCAATATATAATTAAATTATAAGATAATGTTGACAAATCTGACTTCATCTGAACTGTTAAGAGATTATGATAATTTTATTAAGTATTTATAATTTAATAAGCTATAATTAGAAACTTTTTCTAAACATAGCCTATATTTTATTATTTTTTCAGAAAGGTTAAATAATTAATCGTTTTAGGTTAATTTAATCAATTAATATACAACCTTTTCATTCTCCACCTATGTGGCTGATGTAATGGGCACCGTCCATTAGAGACCTTAGTGATCGATCTTTTACTTCTTTTACGTTTATTTATTTATTTATTAATAATAATAAATAAAATAAAAAAACTCAAAAGCTATGTTATTCTTCTTTGGCTAC